CTTCTTCTTCTTCTTCTTCTTCTTCTTCTTCTTCTTCTTCTTCTTCTGATGTCTATCCTCTTTGCCTTTCAGAATGGGATTGAGCGTTTTAATCAGGGTCCTCTCTCTTAACTAGTTTCTTTAGATGTACAGGTTTTAGTAGGTTTATCCTATGTTATATGTCTATATGAGTGAGTATATACCGTGTGTGTCTTTCTGCTTCTGGGACAGCTCACTCAGGATGATCCTTTCGAGGTCCCACCAATTACCTGCAAATTTCATGATTTCCTTATTTTTCATTGAAGAGTAATACTCCGTTGTGTAGATGTACCTCAATTTCTGCATCCATTCTTCAGTTGAGGGGCATCTGGGCTGTTTCCAGCTTCTGGTTATTACAAATAAAGCTGCTACAAACATGGTTGAGCAAATGTCCTTATTGTGTACTTGAGCCTCTTTTGGATATATGCCTAGGAGTAGTATGGCTGAATCTTGAGGAAGCACTATTCCTAGTTGTCTGAGAAAGCACCAAATTGATTTCCAGAGTGGTTGTACCAGTTTACATTCCCACCAGCAGTGGAGGAGGGTTCCCCTTTCTCCACAACCTCTCCAGCATGTGTTGTCCCTTGAGTTTTTCATCTTGGCCATTCTGATGGGTATAAGGTGAAATCTCAGGGTTGTTTTGATTTGCATTTCCCTAATGGCTAATGAAGTTGAGCATTTCTTTAAGTGTTTCTCTGCCATTTGATATTCCTCTACAGAGAGTTCTCTGTTTAGCTCTGTTCCCCATTTTTTAAGTGGATTACTTGGTTTGCTCTTTTTCAGCTTCTTTATTTCTTTATATATACTGGATATTAGCCCTCTGTTAGATAAAGGGTTAGTGAAGATTCTTTCCAAGTCTGTAGGTAGTCATTTTGTTTTGATGATGGTGTCCTTTGCTTTACAGAAGCTTTTCAATTTCATGAGGTCCCATTTATTGATTGTTGCTCTTAGAGCCTATGCTGTTGGTGTTCTGTTCAGGAAGTTGTCTCCTGTGCCAATGAGTTCAAGCAATGTACTTTTCAAAGTTCATCTTCATTGGCCCCACAAAATAATACGTAAAAAAATAAGTAAAAACTGAACATGTCAATAGTATGAACTATTCAGACAAATTATGCCTACCTTCTGGAGTTAGATAATAGTACTCAGGAGATACTCTCAAGTCAATCCTAACAGAGTCTGGACATGCTCTGTTTCACAACACTTTAATAATACCTTATTTTCTATAATCCTTCTTTGTGCCCCCAATTCATCAACTCTCCTAGATTTTCTCCCTTAAAATATAGGCCACAATAGTCTTACCTTAAATAAGTGTACTGTCTTGAAACTCACTTAAAATTTAATAATATTGTTTTAAGGCAATCTTTCTACTTTACTGCCATCAGATACTTTCATATTATTTGCAGTCACTTAGTGGAGCATTATGTTGTTAATGTTCCACCCCCCCCCCCCGCCGTTTACTTTTCTTTATCTACGTTTGGATTTTTTTTTAGTTTGAAAATTTCCAGTAATATCTTCTGTTTGTCAACATGAATGGAAAATAATACATTTTTTCTTTTTCTAATAATGATTTTTTTTTCTGTGTTTCATTTCAATGGGCTCTAGTCAGTCACTTTTTCTGTTCTGGCTAAAAGATGCACACTTTCACCGAAATAAAGTCCTATTCAGAGAGACTAGATACAGGACGAACTTCAGTTTGCTTTTATACCATTCTACAACATCCTTTGAGACCTCATTTTCCTTGGATAATAGTAGGGCCTATTATGCAGAGGAACTTTTTCTACTTTCTATATAAACTTCTTAATTATTTTAATTCTTCTGTAATTTTATACTGACACTATTATCATATTAAAGACAGTATGAGAAATGAAATTTAGAATCTTATTTCACACAGAAGGAAAAGTCTTAAAGTAATAAGAAAACAACATGAAAAACCTGACAAAACGATAATTTGTTATAACTACTGATTTTGTTCTCATATTGCTAGACTGTAGCAATATTAGAAATGGTATAAACCAAAAATAGCCAGACTCACTAATGTAATTAATTACATAATAAAATTTAGATGAAAATAATGCTACTAGCTTGAATTATAAAGAAAATTTGATAAAATTCAACAATCATTCAAAAAATGTCAATGTAAAAATAGTCAAGAATATAATTACTAGAATAAGATATAAATTTACATGTAAGTACTTTCTAGCCAAGATCAAAGCAAGTATTTTCACAAGAAGTTTTAGCATTTTTATGAATCTGTATCCATGATGGCATACAACTGCCTGAACCTCCAGTTCATGAGGATCAGATATTGCTTTTTTTCAATCAAAAGTTCTACACATAAATGTTTCACAATAATTTCCTCAGCCACACATTTATGCATAAAATAATACATATTAGAGACTGTGGAAAAGTTTTAATATAAACAACTTAGAAAATGTAAATGAAATCTATATTATTTCTTAAAACTGTACGTTAAGAGTTATCTCACCAAAAATTAATTGAAATACAATAAAAACACTAGAATTAATAAGGAGGACCTAGATGTAAGATAATTAACATCATTGTAGTTTGTTCTTTAGTGTATATAAGGAGAATTATTGCTTAGTTAAAAGAAAGGATATATTACTTTCTTCATGCCAACATCAAAATTATTGGAACATATTTAATAACTTCTGGATATACAGATTTTAGTATGTTTATGCTATCTTGTAGGTCTAGAACCCATGTATTTTCCCTTTTTTAATTAAATATTTATTTTTTCATATTAGTTACAGTTTATTAAAGTTATATCCCAGATGTAGCCCCCTTCCTTACTCCCTCTCAGTCTTACCCTCCTCCCTCATCTCCTCCCTGCTCCTTTCCAAGTCCACTGATAGGGGAGGTTCTCTTCCCCTTCCATCTGACCCTAGCTTCTCAGGTTTCTTCAATACTGGCTACAGTGTCCATCTCTTTGGCCTAGCAAGGCTGCTCCTCCCTTGGGGGAAGGAAGGTCAAAGAGCCAGTCTTTGAGCTCATGTCAGAAATAGTCCCTGTTCCCCTTACTGAGGAACCCACTTGGATAATGAACTAGCATGGGCTACATCCGAACAGGGGTTCTAGGTTATATCCACACATGATCATTGTTTGGAGATACAGTCTCAGAAAAGACCCCTGTGCCCAGATATATTTGGTCCTCATGGAGCTCCTGTCCTCTCCAGGTCATACTAACTCCCCCTTCTTTTATATGAGTCCCTGCACTCTGCCAAAGGTTTGGTTATGAGTCAGTATCTGCTTTGATAAACTGCTAGGTTGTATCTTTTTTCAATCAAATGGACCTAGTGCCAACTTATAAGTGAATATAAATCATGTGTGTCATGAGATACCTCACTCAAGGTGATATTTTCTAGATTGCACCATTTACCTGCAAATTTCATGATTTCCTTGTTTTTAATTGCTGAGTAGTATTCCATTGTATAAAAGTACCACAATTTCTGTATCCATTCCTCCATTGATGGACATCTAAGTTGTTTCCAGGTTCTAGCTATTATGAATAAAGCTGCTATAAACATGGTTGAGAAGATAAACAAGAAAGAGGACCTGGGGTAAGATGATCAATCCTCATTTAGAAGGACAAATGAGATGGACCTTGGAAGTAGGAGAAAACAAGTAACAGGACAGGAGCTTACCACAGAGGGCCTCTGAAAGACTCTACCTAGCAGTGTATCAAAGCAGTTACTAAGACTCATAACCAAACCTTTGGCAGAGTGCAGGGACACATATGAA